CTTCCTTGAAACAAACACTGCAGGCTGCAAACATATCAGAATGCAGAAAGGAGACATGAGAAAGCCATATTGCTTTAAACCAACCGTTCCTTTACCTGGGTGCTGTGCTGAGATGGTATTGGAATAAGAGACAATTCGATAATGGTGTAATGGTGTGTGGACCTAGGGTTGCATGAAGCACATCCAGGGGTTCTACAATTTATTTATTTATTTATTTTTAAATGTTATAGCGGTGGAAATCACCACTCACAAATAATCAAACCTCTTCAATAACTCAAAAACAAGTAGATAATAAATAATGTTAACTTCATTGTAATGACAACAAATGTATTCTGTTGCTGGAATGTTCAGTAAGAAAACCCTACTATGGCTCAATTAACCAGTCCATAAAGGATTTTGCAGTGTTTTTTGAGATTGTTGAGGTCAAAAATGCTTGATTTTGCTGTGGGTTTTGCCAAAATTTGCAATACAAACTTGTAGAGTTTTTGTGCTTTGTTGGCGGAAAACTATTTGAATGGAGGAAATCGCAAATGCACGAAATAGTTTTGTCTTTTGCAATAATGTTTGTCGGTAAATGAGACCTTTGAGCTGTACTCATGTTGCATGCGTGTGAATTGAAGAGGACTGAATGCACATTTTGATGACGTCACATAACACATCTTGGTCCAAATCTGCGGAAAATCTGCAGTAATTAAAAAAAAAAATTGCAAGCTGCTCCGAATATTGCAGCGCTTGCTTTATTTTGCAATAAATTCTGTGATTGCAAAACCATGAAATCTGGGAGGGACTGAATAAATAATGAAATAATAATTAATATTTAAATAATAAGCCTAATGTCTGAACAGTCTGTACTGAGAGGGTCAATTGCTATTTTTTCATGCAAAGAGGTCCCTGGTTGCAAAACATTTGACTCTATGATATAAGATTCACACTATTTTTTATTTCCACCATGTTCTCCCATTTTGCTGGTGATTCGCTCATAAATGGCACATTATATAGAGTAGGAACAATAATTTAAAGCTGGCTCACAGCTTTACTATTTCTAACACACTGAGCTGCGATAAATTAAACATCTTAAAACGAATCTTTTCTGGTAATGTATCTATACTTCTATTCACAGATGAGATGCCAGGCAGGCACATCAAAAGAAGGTAGGATATAGTACAAAACAGGGAAAATCACACTCTGTGTTCAGGAAACAAGCAAACGGTCAGTACGAAAAGTCTGCCAAAAAAGAGCAAGAGGTCTATACTAGATTACAAAATGGAAAGATTTAACTAAACAAACTAACATGATATACAGGTAAGACAGCTCAAAAATGCAATCTAGCAGATGGATAGACTTCAATTTAAAACCATGACAAATGAAAGGAGGACATAGTGAAGTCAGTTGTAATGATGCACATTTATTAACATAAATAGAACAATATATAAAACGAGGAAACAACATGCTCATCTGTAATGTCTGTCTGGTGCAAGGATGTTAGCATATCAAACATAGAAAATGAAATACTTAAAACAAATAAAAAAGCAAGTTAAACTACAAACCAAACAAAAGTCAAACTCAAGCACAAAGCAACCGAGACCAAGCTCCAGCCACACTAACACAGCCTCTTGATGAGCCTCCTAGCCACACATTCTGGCCTGCTGTAGCAGGAAGAGTAGGAGACCCGTCACAATAGTGCTTTTGACAATAGACATGGTTACAAAGTAGCTTTGCAGAAATTGATTTAGATCCCCAGTCAGCATGCCAGAGGCAAGGCAAATAAATACTCTGAGATGATGTAAGGAGTAAACTGAAATGGGAATCCATCCTCTTCTTGGTGACAGCAGACAGTGGAATTATAACTCATTATTTTTTCAATTGTATACTATAAAATCAAACTGTTCTAAGTGTTTTGAAAGTATGTTCAATATAAGCATCACAGTCTTCATGATTATAGCAGCAGTTTTTAGGTACAAGTCTACGGTGTCTAGGTGTGATATCCACTGAAGAAACGGTGAGTCTTGGTGTAATTTGTTTTTGGGAAGTGCAATATTTTGGGTGTCCGTGTGGCAGTGAGTTATTACAGAACTGGGGTACATATGCAGTAGGTAAATAAGGAGCTACATGTGCCCTGCGATGGACTGGCACCCTGTCCTTGGTGTACCCTGACTTGTGCCGAGGCCCCCTGGGATAGGCTCCAGGTTCACCGTGACCCTGAACAAGGAATAAAAGCGGTGGAAGATGGATGGATGGATGGATGGATGAACTAATTGTGAGAGTTCAGATGTCCTGGAGATTTATTAGTAATCTGGAGATAGGGATCTCTGGTAATGTGGTATGGAAAATCAAAACTGAAATGTATAATCCAGATCTACCCTTGAGAAGTAAAAGTACACATAAGGCACCAAGGATGTGGCAGAAAAACGGTAGTCCTGACTGAAGTCAGGCGGAAAATGGCACATTGAGTGCCACAATAAAAGCTGGTATATTACTGCAGAACTGATATTCCAGTTTTACCAAGAGGGACATCAGCAGTGTTACAGGTCAGTGATCAGAACGCAGCTCAATTCAGCTCCAGTCTATGGCAGAGAGGAGATGAGGGTCATTTTTTTAACAGCCCTATAGCAGATTACAGAAGCTCTACACGGATCACAGAATGCCCTCCAACCCTTCCTTCCAGCTGTGTGTGTGTGTGTGTGTGTCTGTGTGTCTGCGTGTGTGTGTGTGTGTGTGTGTGTGCATTTGCGCATGTAAACTCCAGCTGTTGCAATTAAAGTGCATCAATGTTGGGAAAATGCAGATCTTATCTGTTGTGCTGTCACCTAGAACAATAACATGACATGAGAATACTGGATTTAAACAAAGTTCAGTTAGGTTTTTAGCCACACTGAGGGGCCGGGGTTGGGTGGGGGGTTGAAGGACTATTATGAGCAACAGAATGAAAGAGAGGATGAGATTGACAAGAAAAAAAGAGCAAAGATTGAACTGGAGGGAGGCACAACTGAACAAATGCTCACCTTCCAATGGACACAGAGGACAGACAGCTGAGGGTCCTTTAAGTTTTTTTTAATTAACCACAGCTGTTTACATATTGTAAGTGTGTTCACATGTTGTCCAATGAACAATCATAAACATGTTTAAAATTAACTGTTAGCATGGTTGATGACAATCAGGTAAGGTTGTTGAAATGGTTGCTTGATTGTTTGTTGAGTGTTTACATTACTTACCAATTTTCCTAGACTATGCCTGTTGATGCCCCTGATTTTGGTATGTTAGTTTAATGGGAGTGTAACACCACCCAGGACATCACCCCTCCCACTAGCAGAGATCATGATCTCCAGAATGGTAGAAAAACCTTTGCTAACCATTTCTGTTTGACTTCGTGACTTTACTACATATAATTTCAACAGTTTCTGCATAGGTTTGCGAAGTCTTGCCACTCCTGACACATAAGTTCTGAGCCTTGTTTACAATTGGTTATCTATACTGTGTTTGATTCTCTGTCTGTTCTCTTGGACTGATCTTTTGGCTTATCCTCTTTCTTTTCAGCTGTCTATTTTGACCCTTGCCTGTGTCACCATGCTGAGTTCTGAATTGCGCTATCAATCCCTTTAAGTACCTCTGCACATGGATCTTACCTCTCCTCCTGAGTCTGGTCGTTATAGAAGACTTCATCTTCTACTGTAGATCCAGAGGAAGTCTGGGAATTTCCAATTATCAGTAGCTTCATGGGGTCATATTGTAGGGGCCCATCAACTAAAGAAGATCTCTGACACCATAGAGGAGCTGATGCGAATCTGTGACAGCAGTGCAATTGCTGAAACAAGGAAAACTACCTGCCTCTGATTATGTACTCAGTTTCCCTCACTGCAAATCGTGGCTGGAATGAGCCTACGCTGAAAACTGCACATTCCATTGTGAACTAAATGATGATATCTAGACTGAGCTAGCTTGTAAAGATGATCATACACCTTATGAGCCTGGCACAGTTTGCCATCGAACGCCCTGATGTTGAAGCCAGAACGTGAAGCAAATGGACATAAGTCATGCTAAATCTTGGAGGAAAAAAACTACAGAGGAAGGATGGACTCTGTCTTTACTGTGAGGAAAAGGTCATTTTCCTGCTGAATGTAAATCACATCCAAAGAGTATCTTCTACCCCACTACTTTTCTTCTAAGATTCAAATGTACTTTCCTTGTCAGTTTGCCTAGATTTTATAGTAGTGCCTCTGCACCTGAGTCCTAACTCGTTTCTGGAGTCTGGCCTGTAATAGGAAGCATAAATAATGATAAATAGCTATATACTGTATAGCTATTTTTTTTCATAAACATATGGTTTGCCAAGATTCATATGGAAGAATTTGAGTGGCCTGCACAGGGTCCTGACCTCAACCCCACTAAACACTTTTGGGATGTATTGGAATGTTGACTGTGTGCCAGGTCTCCTCAACCAATATCAGTCACTGGCCTCACTAATGCTCTTATGGGTGAATGGGCAGATCCTCATAACCACACTCCATAATTTTGTGGAAACTCTGACCAGATAAGTGGAGGCTGTTACTGCAGCAAAGTGGACACCAACTTGATGTTTTGGAATGAGCACTTATGGGTGTGATGGTCAATTGTCCACATTGGCCATACTTTTACCTGTAAAATACATAAACTTAAGTGTTCAAGTGTTATGAACTCAAAATCATCATGTATTAAAATAGCTCACTCTGGTCTTTCTTTGATGGGATTGGTCATGCAAGGATTTCTGCCTGGCAACAAGTGTACTAATGCACTGACTGGTAGATAATTGCAAAAGGTGGTCCTCCTAGTCTTGTCTGTTACTGGTGTTGCTGTAGTGAAATTCAAGAGTTCATCATGTGTAGGAGAGATGACTTTGTTTGTGTTTACAAAGAAATGGCAATCATGAAGAGAAAGTTTTGTAAATAGTTACAATTTGCTACAAAGTTTTCATTTCCCCTACATATGGAGACTTTTCGGGAAACCCTGTATTTAAGGACACTGACTCATTGGTGGACTAGTGGCTAGCATGCGGCGCTCTCACTAGCGTGGCCCGAGTTCAATTCTTGGTCAGTAAATGAAAAAGTACACCATATGAACACCAAGTTTAGTGAACTTAATTTTTTAAGTTCAGTCCACATGAGCACCAAGATAAGTGAACTTAAATATACAAGTTTTAGGAGACCCCATTACTGGTAATCATTCCATACAGGATTTTGCTGAGTTTTTTTTGTTTTTGTTTTGGTAATTGTTGCAGCCCAAAATGTTTGGTTTTGCTGTGGCTGTTTTAAAAATTTTTGATTTTTGTGCATTTCTGTACAAAATTTTTTGCACTGTCTTTCACAGTGCTATTTGTTGGTAAATAAATCATTTTAGCTATACTCATGTTCAATGCACTTGAATCGAAAGGGGGCTTTGGCTGACATCACATGGCACATTGTAATGATGTCCTGGCCCAAATCTGTGGAAAATCTACAGTCATTTTTAAACATTGCAAGCTCCTGTGAATATTGCTAAGTTTTCTTAATTTTGCATTAATTAATATGATCGCAAAATCCTGGAGGGATTGGGTAATGTCATAGGCAAATGATTTAGTGCAGCAGACAAATATGAAATTTTTCTAATTTCTCATTGGGACCAATAAAGTATTATCTTAAAAGATAAACAAGATTCATTTCAATCCTTAAGTTTCTTGTGTCATTAATTAAATTTGACAAATTGGTTGTCATTAGAACAAGGGATCATTGTTAGATTTTCAAATAATAATGCAGAAGCTGAAGTCATTCTTCTTATTGAACGACTGGTGAGTTTTTCCCTTCAACACTGATGATGTACTAATAACCTGTCAGAGTGGAACAGATATTAACACCAACATTAGATTTATGATGACACTACTGTTCTTCTTTTAACATGACTCAACTACATCCTCAATGACTCCTAGGTGTTACAGCTCGGCCAGATCAGAACTCAAATTCCCAAGATGCAACACTTCCTTCTCATGCACGCATGCGCTCACCATCCCCGGAGTTCTGATCAGAGACACCTGCCGTTAATCACACACACACACACACCGTCACCGCTACTTAGGTTTGTCAGTCACAGAGTATCGGTGCGAAGTATACGTTCAGTTGACTCATTCTCTGCGTTTCCAAGCCTTTACTATTGTCGTTTGTTTACCTCGTTACCTTGACCCTTGATTACGTCTTCGACCACGCTCTTTGCCTTGCCCTCTATGCTCTGTTCGTCCAATTGCCTGACCACTGCCTGTTTCTTGTTTACGTACCTTGAACACCCTTTGACTCTACACTTACATCTGCCGTCTGCTCCTGCTTCCGTGCCCTTTCCCCTCGATACGTGATAGAATACTTCGCCTTCTTATGGAGGCAGCGGGCGGTACAAGCTAGCCTCAAGCCATCAAAGGACACGGATGGATGATTAGCAACCACGACCAACGCCGAGACAACCTTACCGAGCAAATAGCTCGGCTAAACCAGTACAGCAGCCACAACACGTTTACCTCCTACAATGGAGATCCGGCACGTTGCCGAGGCTTCCTCTTGCAATGCTCTCTGTTTTTTTCAACCTACCCGGACATGACGGAGAGCCGTAAGATCATTCATTTCATGGAACTTCTAACATGGAACTTCGAAGGCTTTACTCTGGGCAACAGCCAAGTGGGAACATGTAGGCAACGTTATTCATACCTATGATGAACTTTCCACGAGATTCCGAACTTTGATCACTCTCCTGACTGCAGAGAGACCGTAGAGGAGTTACTTACCCTGAAACAAGGAGCATGTAGCGTAGCAGACTACGCCCTCGAGTTTCGCACTGCTGCAGCATGAAGTGGCTGGAACCAACCGGCACTTAAGACCGTGTTTCGCCAAGGATTAAACGCCGACATCGTGACTGAATTGGCATGTTGCGACGACCAGCTCACACTAGACTCTCTGATCGACCTAGCCATTCGTCTCGATCGACTGCTACGAAGCCGCCGCTCAATACACACCAAGGTGGAAGTTTCAGTACCGGAGCCTCCCGCGGAGCCCATGCAGCTGGGTCGTACCAGTATTAGTATGCAGGAGAGGGAGCGAAGACGCCGCGAACATCGTTGTTTCTACTGCGGAGGAGAAAAACACTTCGTGCAGCAATGCCCCCTCAAGCGTCCATCTGTCCAAGGAGATCATGCCGCCCATGAATATCATCAGCCAGGGGTGAGTTTAAAATCGGAAGCTCGACGCTCCATTAAATATGCTTTCGTAATGCAAATCCTACTTGAGTACTCAGGGGTGTCTTGTGTCTTAGAAGCGCTGATCGACTCTGGAAACTTCATTGATCAGACAACCGTTCAGAAACATAACATCCACATTCGTCCTCTCCTCACCCCGCGTCGCATCCTAGCCATTGATGGAGCCCCCATAGGTAACGGATTAATTTCACACTGCACTGAACCCATCGATCTCCATACCAGCGCTCTCCATCAGGAACAGATCATCTTTCACGTAACAGTATCCGCTCGTCACCCGGTGGTTCTCGGTCTGCCCTGGTTGGATCTTCATAATCCACAAATCTCCTGGACTCAAAGAGAAATTGTTCGTTGGTCACCCCATTGCATTCACCACCGTCTGCGAACTCCTGTTGTCACGTTAGCAGCTACTTCCATAGAAAGCCCTGAAAAGAATAAGATCCTCCAAATCCACACGGAATACCAAGACCTCAGTTAAGCCTTCAGCAAAGTAAAGGCTAGTGGACTCCCTCCTCACAGGCCCTACGACTGCGCTATAGACCTATTACCGGGCACTACACCACCGCGAGGGGGAGTTTATCCTCTGACTCTAACTGAGCAAAGAGCCATGGAGGAGTACATTCAGGAGGCGTTGCACCAGGGTTACATACGTCCACCCACATCACCAGCATCGGTGGGGTTTTTCTTCGTGGAGAAGAAGGGAGGAGGTCTAAGACCCTGCATCGACTATCGGGGCCTAAACCAGTGCTGCGTTAAGTACCGCTACCCTTTACCTTTAGTCCCTGTGGCTTTGGAACAATTACGCTCAGCCACCATTTTCACGAAGTTGGATCTACGCAGCGCCTATAACCTCCTCCGGATCCGTGAAGGGGACGAGTGGAAAACGGGGTCACTACGAATATCTGGTCATGCCGTATGGGCTTTCCAACGCGCCTTTGGTTTTCCAATGTCTCATTAATGACGTTTTGCATGACATGCTGGGACGTAATGTAATAGCATACATCGATGACATTTTAATCTATTCCAATTCAAAAGAACATATTCACCATGTCCGCCAGGTGCTGAAGAAGTTGCTCCGGAACCAGTTGTACATCAAAGCTGAGAAATGTGAATTTCATAAGGATACCAATTCCTTCCTGGGATACATAATTAACCCAACAGGAATCACCATGGACCAGGAAAAGGTTAAAGCGGTCACTAATTGGCAAAGCAGTCACTAATTGGCCTACACCCACGACAGTGAAGGAATTACAGAGGCTCCTAGGTTTCGCCAATTTCTACAGACGGTTCATTCGCAATTTCAGCACGATCGCTGATCCCTTGACATCTCTGTTAAAAGGGAAACCTAAGCTTGTGTCATGGGGCCCAGCAGCCCAGAATGCTATGGATCAGCTCAAGAACGCCTTCGCCACAGCCCCCATTATCAAACATCCCAATCCATCCCGACCATTCATTGTGGAGGTGGACGCCTCTGAAACTGGGGTAGGAGCGGTGCTCTCGCAGAGGTTCGGAGAAAAGCCCAAACTCCACCCAGTAGCATTCTTTTCAAGAAAACTCTCCTCGTCTGAAAGAAATTTTGACGTGGGAAAAATTAGCTCTTGAAGAATGGCGTCACTGGTTAGACGGAGCTACACACCCCTTTGTCATCTATACAGATCACAAGAACTTGGAATACTTATGCACAACTAAGCGGCTAACACCTCGACAGGCCCGTTGGGCACTGTTCTTTACAAGATTCCAATTCACGTTGTAATACAGACCTGGGTCCAAAAACACAAAAGCCGATGCCCTATCACATCTGGATCACCCAGAAGCTGTCAAGTATCAAGAAGAATATATTATTATCCCTCATGCGTCGTCAGCACCCTCGAATGGGAGCTTAACCAAGAACTAGAAAGCATCCCCTCATCCCAAATCCCAATAGCATTTCCCACAGGCCGACTGTTTGTACCCGAGAAGCATCGTCAGGGAATCATCGTCTGGGCACACACAGCCATAGGTACAGGTCACCCTGGAGCACAATGTACGTACCTCCTACTACGGGAAAAGTACTGGTGGCCCAACATGGAGAGGGACATACACAGAATGGTGGCATCCTGCTCTTCATGCGTACAGAGTATAGTCCCATGAACACTTCCCACTGGTAAACTCAAGCTTCTCGTTTACGTACCTTGAACACCCTTTGACTCTACGCTTACATCTGCCGCCTGCTCCTGCTTCCGTGCCCCTTCCCCTCGATATGTGATACTAGGTAGCAACAATACATCTTTGATTGGCCATTGAATCGTAGCTGTATGCTACTATATGTTTCTGCAATGTTCAATACACCCTTCACCAGAACAGTTCAACTTGAATAAACCACAAAAGCCAAATTCAGGAAAGAAAATGAAAATGGACTGACAAAAAACATTTTCTGTCCTCCTTTGAACCCATCTGCTCATCCTATCTCCTATATTCCATTTTTGAAAACCACAGCCATTAGCTATTCCGTAGGAAGCGTGTAAAATTTTGATTTATTCCTTTATTTTTTAATTAAAGTGAGTCTAAAAGCATTATATAAAAGCTTAATTTTGGCACAAGCTTAGTGAGAATAGGCTTTTCAGGCAATGATTAAAAAGAGAAACAGGGTGTACAGGCAGATGAGTGGTTGTCGACAGATGAATGTCAAAAATAAACAGGCTTCCCGCTGAGAGGAAGAGTGGGTGGACAGAGCAGGGTTTATGGCTAAATGGCCACAAGCAGAGAGAATATGATGACCTTTATACATCTGTTATTAAACATCAGCTAGCCAAAAAAAGAGATCTAGTTTATTTAGCTTTGGGATCATGCCAG